GGTCCGGTCTATTGGTGGGGAGCAACACCTGCTGGAAAGCGGGTCCAGCGTCTCACACAAGAAGAAAAACAGGTGCGGAAGAGTAGGTGTGTGTACCTTCTTCCCCATAACGCAGTGCCCTGTCATCATGAACGTATACAGACCCTGTTCTGGTTCAAAAAATATGATGAGTTCGGGGGCGAGAAGCTACCCTCTTCCCCTAAACATAACGCGTTTAGTGGTCTGGGAACTAATCACTTCCAACCCAGTGGGGCAAGGAGGAGAGTGACCAGGTGCTTGGAACTATCCACTTCCAACCCAGCGGGGCAACTCGGACATAGACTCTTTCTCTTGATCTGAGTCTCTGCTTGGGTCAATACGTTGTAACAATTGAAGCAACAGGTGACTTGATGGAACAACGTTATTACAGATCCAACATCCTCGGGCCAATCTGGTGGTGTGTCTCGAACTGTCTTCCCGTCGTCTATCGTTCCAGTCAGTCAGGTGCGCGCAACTGTCTTCCTCCAAATAGAATGCAGGGTTTTAACAACTTTGAGAAATGTCTACGTCTGACCTGGAAATCGTCCTGAGGACAGACATGAATCACATGACGATGCTGTGTCAGTCATCTCACAGGTATTCTTTGATTGCCTTCGTGGCATCTCAACAGCACACTCTCTCCGTTACTGGGCCTCACACTCTGCCATGCAAACAATACCCATTCCACTTCATTCTGAGAACAGTTCTTACGAAGGGCGGACTTGGGACTCGATTCCTACCCAGTGTTATTTGTTATGTGCTGTATTAGCACATGGCGTTCTCCACCTTAACAATTAACAACGGCTTCCACAGACCACGGGCTCGTCAGCAGAGTCGATGCGTCCACTAAATCACATGATATAAGCCCATTCGACAACTGCACAGCTGTCATCAGACAGGGAGTCGCTGATGCTTTGTCTGTGCGCAGGAAGCGGTAAGCATGTATCGTGAAAAACTGACTAAGGTCAATTTGTTCTTAGTTAGGACAAATATAGCACCAGTGGAGCATGCCCCTAAGGTCCCTAACTCAATTCTGGCACTTTGGAACTTGCTAAATGCTGTGCGGGATTCTGCAACTTGGAACCATCTCGATTATTCACCTGTCTGCTATTGAACACACTGATCCAATTAGTGGACACTTGGTCTTTGGGCCTTGCCTCCTGCATCTTGTGCTGATGTGATGTGTGCTGTGGTTGGAGTGGCCTGCTGTTTTTTTTTTTTTTTTTAGGTCATAATTGAACAGGGTGCAAAAAGATTGTTGAGCAGTTAGTCTGTGAGTTGCGGAGGCTAAAACTGCTTCTGTCTCCGACTGCTGTTGTCTCCATCTGCACATTCTCATTTTGCAGCAATATGACGACACTCCAGAAGGACGGAAGGTCTGTGCATTCTATAAGTTGACTTCTTTACCTGCCGTAATTGTGCTCGACCCACAAACGGGGCAGAAGATGAAGGGATGGGATGGGATGTTGGATGCAGACCGGCTCCTTGAGGTGAGATTTTGTATGCCCCTAATCTTGGACTGTTATTGTCTGGATTTCTATGGTTAAATTAGAGCATTTTGGCGTGTTATGCTGTCATTCACTTGCATCCATGTGTGTGTGTGTGTGTGTGTGTGTGTGTGTGTGTGTGAGAGAGAGAGAGAGAGAGAGAGAGAGAGAGAGAGAGAGAGAGAGAGAGAGAGAGNGAGAGAGAGAGAGAGAGAGAGAGAGAGAGAGAGAGAGAGAGAGAGAGAGAGAGAGAGAGAGAGAGAGAGAGAGAGATTGTTTAGGGCCTGCCTTACGGTGTTCTGGTCCTTCGTCTTGATTGTTCTTCTCCTGTGTATGACATCTCAACAGCCCAGGTCTGACATTTTGCTATAGGTTGTCCCACCATGATGCCACTGAAGGAGAACCCACTGGTTTCCAAAATTGTAGGTGATCGTATTATATTTGTTGAGATTCAGTTGTGTTCACTACACCTTTGCTTATTACTCCTTTGCCTTTGTGGTATTGGCCTTTCAGGATCTGGTTCCATTCATGGATCGTGGGCCGCTGGAGAAACGAACACCTATGGTACAACCTCACAAGAGACCTCGCGAGATAGAAGCGGATTTCGAGACCTCCAGGGCCAAAGCAGTAAGGATCTTTGTTTTTTTAACTCTCATTTGTTACAAATGTTGGCGGCTTACATTCATAGGCGATTGCGATATGATTCAGTAATCTCACACTACCATCACACCAGCGATATGCAGAAACCCAACTTGTATGAGATGCAAACTGTGCAGAGAGTGGGCTTGTTGGCGACACATTGCTGGTGGCACATTTATAGGGCTGATTCGCTTGAAAGTCTTCGCCTGCCTGCTCTCTTGCTCTCTGCTTCCTTCCTTCCATCCTTCATACCTTCTTTCCTTCCGTCCTTTTCTCCTTCCTCCCTACCTTCCTCCATCCTCCTTTCCCACCTCTCCTCCTTCCTCACCTTCATCGTCCTCGCTTCCTCCCTTCTTCCCATCCTCCCTCCCTCCCTTCCTCCCTTCCTCCCTCCCTTCTTCCCTTCCTCCGTTCCTTGCCGCACGTATTTATTTAATAACTACGAAGCGTCGTCTCCTCTTGAAAGTTGAAACTTACAGGCACAGACTTAATGGCATGTCCTCTCTTCCTTCCTCCCTTCCGGCTTGCCGTCCTCCCTTCCTCCCTTTTTCTTTTGTAAAAAAAAATAAAGGGCAACGCCTTGAGATATCATCATTTGAACTGACCGGCCCTAGGTAATTCAAATTTGCAGTATGTTACTCATCTGCTTCATCTGCTTCGCGTCTAGTTCGAACTCAGGTCTGTATTTCAACAGTTCAGGGGTGTACCAACTGAGCCAGGCCGGTGGGTACCTTCCTTCCTTCTTCGTTTCCTCCCTTCCTCCCTTCCTCCCTTCCTCCCTTCCTCCCTTCCTCCCTTTCTCCCTTCCTCCCTTCCTCCCTTCCTCCCTTCCTTCCTCCCTTCCTTCCTCCCTTCCTTCCTCCCTTCCCTTCTCCCTTCCTGCCCTCCTTCTACCCATCTGTGCACATCTGTCCATCCCTCCCTTCCTCATGCCTTCCCTTCCCTCCTCCGTTCCTCCCCTCCTCCTGCCAGCCGCCCTGTGTTCCTTCTTGCCTCTGTCCCTTACGCTCTCCCTCCCACCTTTCCATGAGGGGTTAAGCCGCGCTGCACTTCACTGTACTGCTCTAGGAAGGTAATGCTGGACAGGTCGATAGGTGTAGTCTACCCTTGTGTCCCCTCTATAGCCCGAGAAGAGTCCATTCTCCTCGGCTTCGTGTTCTCTGCGAAAGAGGATGGTAATTCACCCTTTCCTGCCTGCTAGCACCCTACTGGCATGTATCCAAAATTGGTGTGTGCCCAGGGGTGAAGGCTACAGGGAACTCGTGTGAAGGTCTGCAACCATTTTATGTGATCAGTCAATTCTGTTACTGTCTGCAGCCGAACGCATACTTTGTCCTACTGGTGTGGTGAGCAGCATGATGATTGCAAACACGCCCCGCTTACACATGGTGTGTTGGTAAGGAAGGGCAGGGAGAGTGCTTTTGTCTTCTCAACGATTTTGAACTGCCCTGTATGCAGCAAGTGATCCTTTTGCTGTTTGTTGCTTTTCATCAATAAAAAAACGGGAAGCGAGCCACATGCTGTTTTTCGTGTTGATTCAACTTCAACTGCCTGAGCGCGGTGTGGGTCAGACTGTTTTGGCCAAGCTGTGCAATCTGTTACGGTGATGAACACAGCCGTTCATGATGTGTACAGAGCCTTGATGTTCAAGTGGGCCATGGTTTTTCTGTTTTGATGGAACAGGCAGCTGCTGACGCAGGTCTGCATAGTGATGAAATAGAAGACGAAGAATTACAGCGTGCTATCGCGGTATCGCTGGAGGCAATTCATGCCGAAGTTCCTGCTCTGGAGAGAAGAGGAGGTCGCTCGAACTCGGATCACAGGGAGCTTCGGAGAGAAGGGATGCAGCAGGAGGGCACTGCAAAGCTGTCTGCGTCCAGAACAGGGCCCATGGATGAAGCCACAGGTGGAAGAGCAGGACCCAAGGCAGGTGCGGAAGCTGCAAGGTGTGTGCCAGAGAAAGAACTTGGACAGGAATGCAGAAAGAGGGGCGAGCAACAGCAGGAGGCAGTGGAGCCATTGCCGGAAGAACCTCCCGTTGGCGATCCAATGGCATGCCGCATCGCCCTTCGCTTTCCTGATGGAAGGCGTGGACAGCGCCGTTTCCGTCTTTCTGACTCTGTCAAGGTGAGCACAACAGTGGAGTTTGTTGGTGACTGTGGTAATGGTTTGTTTTTTTTGGGGGGGGGGGAGAGGGGGGGGGACATCTCTCCCTCACCACCTCCACCTTCATCCCCCTCATCATCTCCTCCATCATCTTATTATCAATAATAGTAAACAACAATGAAAATGGAAGTGCCAGAATCAATGCCTGATTACTTGGCAGCAAGTACAAAGAGCCGTTCTTGTAGCCATAACCTCACTCTTCTTAATGTTGTGGCATCCCTGGCTATGGTGGAACATCCAACTCTGGTATGGTTTTATTTCTTGCTTGATATCCAATACACATTGTAGGTGCAGTTGGAGATGCACCTTTATGGAGTACTAAACTTTTCTCGCCATTCATACCGATGAGAATGCAGGCATCGAACGACATGTGTACGTGCGATTGTTATCTGGATGGTCTTATCATCTCTTATGATAATGGTGTTTAAACTACCAGTGCGGCCCCTGAGATTCAGAAATGCTCGCTGGTATACACGGACCAAAATCACAGGTTTGTCCTACAAGAGTACCGAGACCCTAGGGGGGTACCTGGGGTGTGTGCATGATTCCGAGCACCCCGATTCTGGCGGATTTGTATTCTGATTTCCGGGGATGAAAAATTCCAAAAGTATCAATCACAGGGTTGTCCTACGAGACCCTAGGGGGGTTACTGGGGGATGTACGAGATTCCGAGTACCCCTCTTTCAGGAAGTTTCGGCACCTTGTTTTTTTTTTTTTTAACATATGTGCTCCAAGCTATTCGTGGCGAGCAGAATGTGCTGGAAACCGGGTCCAGCGTCCCATAAGGACGTTTACAGCTTCAACAAGGATCTTTTTTTTTTTTTTTTAAGTTGAGAGAACCTCCCCCTGCCAGCATTGATTACCCTGGAATCCAGGGAATTAACTGAGCACGGAACGTCCTTTGATGGTAATGAGAATGAAAAAGACTATGCTATGTCAGCAAATCTGCCTGATCCTAGAACATAGCTGACTTGTTCTCGCCACCTTGGATTAGGGGTGAAAAAGACTATACTATATCAACAAATCCCAGAGCATAGCTAATTTGTTCTCGCCACCTATACTCGTTACCCCACCAGCCGTTGCGCATTCCTGCAAACTCTCTCCACTCTTCTTCTTCTGGCGACGAGCCGACCTCCTCCACCACATAGTTCGCCAGATGAAGAACGGTAGAAAGATGGGCTCACAGCAAGCAGCAACTAGTGAAGGATTCAAGCATTTCAAAGAATCTGAAGAATTTCAAAGGAAAGGAAGGGGCAAGCGCGAATCTCGGAAGATGGGACTGGCAACCATCTTTTCCTACTCAGACTAACAGGATAATCCATCCCTAACTCCCGCCTTTCTGTCCTCGTAGTCTAACTTCCCAAATCTCAAGCTCCCCTTACAGCTAGGGTTACAGGGCAGCACAACCCGCCCTAGCTCCGGCTCTCGTTGTTATAACGGATTGGAGTGCCTTCCTCCCTTGACAACTCCCGCGACCACAGTCTCTAACAGATCACAGGGCTATACCCCGACATCAGCTGGTCGTCGAACATCGCTGGTTGCCTTCTACCCCCGGCAACTTCCCAGACCTCAAAACCCCACTAATCCGAGTTACAGGACGGAGTAACCACGCCCCAGTACTGGTCTGTGTTGTCCCAGCAATGTTCTCCGAAGACATATGCGGCCAAGACCCGGTCAAGATTGCCTATTACATGCCCACAACCGCCCTCGCCTATTACATGCCCACAACCGCCCTCTTTCACCCAGTGCGACTTCCATCCTTCCCGTCCCTCACATCCCCATTCCAACAGGACTTACAACAACAAGACCACCATCCTCATCGCCACCTACCCTAAACTCATTCCACTGGCTAGCCCTCCTCACCAGTGAAACGCGTGATTACTCTCCCCTACGCAACCATCTCTCCTCTTCAGCCCTCTTCCGGCCCACCCCCAAACAACTGACCTTACTCAGAACTATTTGTTGCACTATTGGTTGTTGTAAGTATGCAATCTCGCTTCAATTATTAGGAAGAGGAGAACACCCCTCCGTTCTGATCTACCCCACTGTCACGCGTCCCTACAAGCACCCCTTCTACTCTTCCTCCCCTAGCTACGAGCCGACCTCCTCCACCACATAGTTCTCTAGGGGAAGAAGAATAGAAAGACCAGCTCCCAGATACTCGTAACAGGCCAATAACGTACCATCTCAATCCCACGACAAGCCGACCTCCTGCACCACATAGTTCGTGAGATGGAAATCGTCCGAACCACCCCCCAAAACCACCATCCTCCCCACCCGTTAAAGCAAAAAGTACAATCGTGCCAAATCAATTTCATATCAAGAAAATTGCTCAAAAAAGTACTTTTATCTGAAGATCATAGGAAAATTTTTTCCAAAGAGTCAATCTAATAAGCAGTTCAAAATTTAGAAGCCTTGGTTGATAAATCAGGAACGAAATTTTGGAGTACTCTTTAGATACCCTAATGGGGCTCTTACAATTCGGATTTATGAGCCGCCAGACTCAACAATCTCTCAGAAGTTGACGCAAGAATTTTAATCAGAATCTTTTTCGACAGATCAGATATGAAACTACAACAATCAGGAACATTTCTAAAGCTCAAGATTAGACATCAAAATGAAATCATTTTTTTGAATATCAATTTCCTTAGTATTTATAACACAACATCAACTACTTCGGAATTACTAATTGAGAAATCACAGAATGAAGCAAAATTAAGATTCGCCCTCCCAACCAACCATCAAGATTGGACAACTCTAAAATTCAAATCAGATCAAAATCAGAAGATTAATAGTAATTACTAATTACTAATTACTAGTTATTTTGAGTAGGAGCGAACCGATCCACTCATGGGCAGGACCATGACCCTATGAGCTATCAACCAATGAGAAACCTCCATCCCCACTTCCTCAACAACTCCAACTTACCTCTTCCCCCTCAAACCCTACCCCATCGTCTTCAGGGAAGGAGAGAAGCCCTCCCTCCCACTGCTAGCCACTAGGCTCTACGGCAATACTAGCACTGAAAACTTCAACGGCCATCTTCAATCCCCCCAAGAAGAACCGAAGACAGTGTGGCACCTCCTCGCCAAACTCATTGGCAGGTCACCACAGGAGGTTCAAGCCTTCATAGAGTTTTACTTACCACACTGTTGAGGAAGAAGGGGAAAAACTGGACCACCCTAACCTCTTGATGTACAGCTTCCTTTTGACCTGGTGCTCCCACTTGAACGACCTTCCTCCCTCTCTCATTCTGCATGAGAGTACGCTCCTCCCTTCCCGACAGAACACCAAAGGTGAAGCTCCCTCGTCAATAACAACCCGAAATACACTTCCCCTAGTGAAAGTACCTTGTGGCATCCCCAGGCCCCATAGCCCACCTGCCCATGTGGAGTTGCCCGACGAACCTCATCCATGCACGCCAACCCAACAAGCATCATCTATCTTGCCTTCACGGGTCACGGCACGGCGCTTCAATAGCGCTCCTCGCCATACCCACCATGCCTTACTCCCTCGCCATGCACTCCCTCCCTCCGCCGCTCACCGGCCCCTCGCACCACTAGCACACTGTTGCCGTGTGAAAATGCGGAGTTCTGGACGGGCGCGCCTGGTCACACCGGGCGCAGCGCTCCCGGTAGCGCTGCGCCCTCAGGATGCAGTCTCAAACGTTGAGGCATTCTTTCTAATTTCTGGGAACGAAAAGTTCTCAAAGGATCAAATCATAGGGCCGTCCTACGAGACCCTAGGGGGGTACCTGGGGTGTGTGCAAGATTCTTAGTACCCCGATTTTGGCAATTTTTAATGCTGATTTCCGGCAACAAAAAATTCCAAAAATATCAGGGGTGTTTGTGAGATCCCTCTGCGTCCATGGGAAAAGAGTGCAACGAAAATGGTTTGGCCCATGGGAAAGATATCCGTGCCAAACCGAATGCATACTTCAATCAAAGTTGGTATGACCCTGTAGGAGTGACATTTCAGGCTGGGAAAGCCCATGAGCTTTTTTTTAGCGTGTGTGGTTTCGACAAAGCAGGCTCGGGCGAACTGGTGATTCAAATTCTGATACCTCTCAACCAGCATCTTTACTTGGGAAGAAGCGAAGGGAATAGGAGATACATGTGATGATTGAGCAAGCAAGTGTGTGTGTGTGTGTGTGTGTGTGTGTGTGTGTGTGTGTGTGTGTGTGTNTTTGTGTGTGTGTGTGTGTGTGTGTGTGTGTGTGTGTGTGTGTGTGTGTGTGTGTTTGGCCCTCTATGCCATGTCGTGGTACAATGCTTCATGTGATGTTTGTGTGTGTGCGTTTGGCCCTCCATGGCATGTCATGGTACAAGGCTTCCTGCCACCATGACTCCAAAGAACTACTTAGGGAAACCTTTGAGATGTGATCTTCTGCGTGTGTAGAAAACCGTGACATCATTGTTCTAGTACTCAGCTTCCACACAGTTCGACGATCGATGAGAGGTCCTTACTTTTGCATTGTCATTTTGCATTCTCATGACATCATAATAGAAATAGCATCCTTGCAAAGGAGGCTGTGCTCATGAGATTGCTCGGGAGTCGTTCGTTACTCTCACAATCAAGGAGATCCCTGACAGGGGGTGATTACTACGATCCGGCGATGGAAATTATGTTCGAGTATGGTTTGGTTCAACCGGAATGGGTGTGATTACTTCAAATAAAAGCAGCTTCACTGCCTGGTGGTTGAATATCAAAAGATTATCGCAATTCGGCACGACGGAAGGAAGTGCTGTTGAGCGTCCAATGGTGTTTTGGTCGGTGATTGCACCATTAGGCGCAAGGCTTCCGGGCGGGGGCTACACACTGCAGAGGGAGGAGGGTGCTCCTTGGGCACACACGTGCAGTAGCGAAGAAGTTCGTAAGTCCGAACTCAATCATGTAAATGAATGCTACAGTTTACATGATCATCTTGAAGTCAGGAAGTGATTAGCTCCTGCATTGATGTAAGGCTGTAAGCATACCATATCCCACTATACTAACATATGTTATCCCTTCAGCAAAAGGTCAGGCGATTAGTACAATTCAGCGATAAAAGTTCATAAAACTTTGCAGAAGGCCATATGGCATATACTAAGTCTTGACGTGGTTAGTTGGAAAGGAAGGCGTGGCCATGTATGGATCTCTGGGGGCCAACGAATATCGGTGCAAATGTTAGTGCATCGATGTTCGTCAATCTCAGGGAGTGGCGCGTTTGTGCTTTTGGTAAGAGTCAAAATTGGACTTGTTTCTAGATGCAGAAGAGCACCGGTGCGTTGGTGGGGTTGTACCTCTCTATCCCTTGGGGGAATTAGGGGACATTGATCGTCCATGCAAAGCTCCTGTGCTTTACTATGAAACATTGAAACACGACCGGTAGGCCTTTTTTTTTTTTTTTTTCATGCAATGTCGGGGTCGACTGTGCTTTGATGGGGTTGTACCTCTCTATCCCTTGAGGGGATGAGGGGGGATTGATCGTCCATGCAAAGCTCATGTACTTTACTATGAACCACGGCCGGTAGTCCATCTTTTTTTTTTTTTTTTTTTTTTTTTTCAGGCAGTGTCCGGGACGACTGGCTAGCGGGAGTGATAGGAGCGTCTCCCTCTAGCAGTGTTGCCAGGTGCTCTGATCTACTGGTGGGGAGCGGCACCTGCTGGGAACCGGGCCCATTGTCCCTTAAATGAATATTGAAGACCAGAACATTCCGGGGCCATCACCCGGTTTTGGCTAAATCCAACAAGGCGGGCCGGACTAACATCGTGCTGCTGGCACACGCCAAGACCCATTCTTTGCTGTAGTCCATCTGGGTTATTGAGAGAGGTGAGACTTTTGTTCACGTGAACCATGCAAATATGCTGCATCATCAAACAACGGCAGTGGGGGTGTAGATTTGCATCCAACTGCGGGTAAGGAATTTGTAACATTGCACTGATCAAGCAAACAGAGAACTACCTAAGAGTAAGATGAGAGTGGTGGGTGCAACGCGTGGGGATCGACCGGCAAGCATCAGTACCATTGCAGGGGGGCAACAATGCTCCACGGTGTCCTCCTGAGTACATGGATCAGGCAAATACTTGCTGCCCGTGTCCTTCTATGTGACCTCCTGTCAAAGCTCGGAGGAGTACAAAAAAAAAAGGGGCGTCCTTCGGGGACATCCGTGAAAACTGGAACGATACAGAGAGCGAAGATTAGCATGGTCCCTGTGCAAGGATGACACGTATGAATCGAGAAATGGTCCAAAAGAAAAGAAAAAAGAGGAGTAGAGTACAAGGAGAGTGGATGAACGTGCATAAAACAAATGCAGCCATGATGTCATTGGGTAAGAAAAAATCGTCCTCAGATGCTGTAGGCTATTTACTATTTACGCTCAGCTGCTCATAGCTTCTCTGTGTGATGAAATGGAAATGTATTATGCATTTGGTTATAGTAGTATAGTGTCTTTGCACATTGAATTTGAAGCCTGCAAGGTGAGCAAACCAGGTGGTGATGAGTCTGATGACTCACTTTTTTTCGCACTGTTCGTGTCTTGTGTTTGCAGCTCTTGCGCTCATTTGTGTTTGCTGAGGTTCCCGATGCTGCCAATGGGCGACCTTTCCATCTTGCTCCAGCTATTCCGGACTCCCCCACGTTGAATCTGACAGCGGATACAAGTTTCAGGGATGCGTGTCTTGCGAATTCCATGCTGGTGATGACCTGGGACAGATAGAGTATTAAGAGCTATGCAGAATCGGAGATAATCACCTGTATCTATCGAGGGCTGGTGCTGACCTTCATCTGTACAGCGGCGTTGGACTTAACGTGAATCACCACGGGGATGGACATACCGTGCAGGTAGCCAGGGTCCACCTGACCTGTGTATGTACAGGGTTGGACCTAAACGGCCCCTGTACAGCGGCGTTGGACCTAACGTGAACCACTACAGGGATGGACATACCGTGCAGGTAGACAGGGTTGACCTGACCTGTGTATGTACAGGGTTGGACCTAAACGGCACCTGTACAGCGGCGTTGGACCTAATGTGAATCACTACAGGTATGATATACCATGCAGGTAAACAGGGTTCACCTGACCTGTGTATGTACAGGGTTGGACCTAACCGGCATTTACACAGGGTGGGACCTCACCCGGGTCTACACAGGCTTGGACTTGAGCTTTGTCTGCATATCGCCGAACCTAACCTCCATCTGCACAGCGTCTACACAGCTGTGGACCTCCCCTGGGTCTGCACAGTGTTGGACCACCTACCCTGGGTTTACACAGGGGTTGACTTTACCTGGGGCTGCACAGGAACTGCACGGGGTTGGACCTAACTTGAGTCTGCAAAAGGGTCAGACATAACCTGCATCCACACAGGGTTGGGCTTAACCTTGTGCTATGCAGTGTTGGACCACCTGACCTAACCTGCATCCATACACAGGGTTAGACCTAACCTGGAGCTATGGAATGTTGGACGTACCTAACCGGAGTCTAGGTATCATGCAGCGACACTCCATGGTTGCTTGGTGCCAACAGGGGCACAGGATAGACTGCTAGATGATTACCCCTGGTTTGAGGAAATGCCTGCAAAGTCGCAGCTGCAGACTGAGACAGAGACCTGGTCCCCCTCACATCTTTTCTCAGCTGCATCATAGTTAACCTGATAGAATCGGTGAATAATCAAGTCATAATCGTCTTCCACTGTGCACTCTGAAGGGAAATAATACCGCCCTTGAAATGGGGGATCATCCAAATCAATCAGGTATTCACTTTCTTCGTTCTTTCCGTATTTGTTCCTCCTTGCCTCTCTCTCTCTTTCTCTCTCTCTCTCTCTCTCTCTCTCTCTCTCTCTCTCTCTCTCTCTCTCTCTCTCTCTCTCTCTCTCTCTCTCTCT